ATAGAAGCTACCATGCATGTTTGCATATTAAAACAACTAAGCCACATTTGCTACATTATAACAGTAAAAACATCATCTTTGTGAGCCATGATGATTGGGGATTTTCTAAATTGGCATGGAACTAAAAGATTTGGGTTCCAGGTTTTGCTTGGCCTCTTTCTAGCTCTCTTACTTTGAGGAAATCACTTTTCCCTCCCAGCTCAATGCTTGAAACACACATAGGAGGCCAGAAACTCAGTTATGGGTTCCCAGCCCCTCAGCCTCACACTCTGATAATCAGAGGTTGTTAGTTACCAACTGGGTTTCTATTAGAAACTCCTGGGTGTCCTTGCTGTGAGTTAACTAGCAAATCAGATACTGCCACTCCCCTACTTAAAGCTCTATAACACCCTGTCCAGTATGGTAGCCATTGGCCACGCACGGCTATTAAGCGTTTGCAAAGTAGCTGACCTTAGCTGAGATGCCCTGTAAGTATAAAACACACACCAGGTTTCAAAGATGTAGCACAAAAAAAGAATATAAAACATCTCAATAATGTTTTACATCATTCACAAGTGGATATGACACCATTTCAGATATATGGGGTTAAATATAGTTTACCTTTTTATAACTCTTTTTTAATGCGGCTATTAGAAAATTTTTAATGATATATGAGGCTCATATTATATCTCAGTAGGAAAGCGCTGATCTATAGTTTCCTACTGTCCTCAGAAAAAAATTTAAATTCCTTGGGACTTCGCTGCTGGTGCAGTGGTTAAGAATCCACCTGCCAACACAGGGAACTCAGGTTCAAGCCCTGGTCCAGGAGGATCTCACATGCCACGGAGCAACTAAGCCCGTGCGCCTCAACTACTGAGCCTGCACTCTAGAGCCTGCAAGCCACAACTACTGAGCCCTCGTGCCACAACTACTGAAGCCCTCGCGCCTAGAGCCCGTGCTCCACAACAAGAGAAGCCACCGCAATGAGAAGCCCGTGCACCACAACGAAGAGTAGCCCCCGCTCGCTGCAACTAGAGGAAGCCCGCATGCAGCAACGAAGACCCAGTGCAGCCAAAAATGAATAAATAAAATTAATTTTTTTTAAAATTTAAAACTCCTTATCAGCATCCAAGGTGATCCAGTTCCCACAAGGTCTCCTCACAAATTCTCCTTGTCCCTCATTACTCTCCAACTGTAATGACCCTATGATCCCTCAGACACATCAAGCCCATGCCCACCTTAGGGTCCTAGCACTCATGACTCCATCCTTCTGGAATGTTCTTTCTGTGGCAACTCTGCTCATCGCCATGTTGACTCGAACTCCCTCTTTAGGTTTCATCTCACACATCACCTCCTCAGTCAGGCCTTCCTGGACCACCTGATCTCAAGGGACCACACATCCAGTGACTCACTCCTCCATTTATTTCCTCTGAGGCCCTCATTGCCATTCTTAGTTCCCTCATCTAATGATCTGTTCACCTGTTCCATGCCGGTCTCCCCCAACCGGAATAGAAGCTGTATGAGGGCAGGAACCTTTCCGGTCTTATTCAGTCTATGTCATATCTACAGCTCAGGGCCTCACCCATTAGAGTTCTCAGCTCAATGTTTGTTGAATGCATGAATGAACAGTGAAAAGAGCATGAAACTCAGAGTCAAAAAGTCCCACTTAGGACAAACCCAATGACAAGGATAACGACACCATCACCTTGCTCTGAATGCTGAGTCTTGTCCTGTAATCAATCCTTGAAAGTCACTATAGGAGGCAGCGTGATAACTCAGAGGACACAGTCTGGAGCTAAAAGACCTGAGTTTGAATTTCACCTCTGCCACCTGCTGGAGTATGACCTTGGATGGAGCCCGTGACTGTCCCAAATCTCCATTTTCTCCCAGAGATATAATTAGAATTATTATGGAATAATTAGAATTATCCCACCGTTGTCTTGAAGGTCAAGTAAGATAAGAGTTTTGTGAATCAAAAAGCCCCAGTGAAATTTACCAGACCAAGACATTCTTGAAGCGGAAGGATTCTTTTATTTACCTGGGTGTCCCCAGCACTTAAAACAGGGCTTGGCTTAAGGCAGGTGCCCCCAAAACTACTTGATGGATGAATGAAGCTTCTGATAAGCCCCAGCACCACCAAGCAATGAACCTTGGGGAAATCAGATCTCTTTGCTGTTCCAATCTGGAAAAGATACCCCATTTTCTCCCAAAGAGAAGCAAAAGGACCCCAGAGATGGAGTGAGGCTGAGATATAATGGGCCCTATTGCCTCCATTTTCCAGAACAGTCCGGACTATAAGACTCTGTCCAGGTGTCCAGTCAAAACTCTGACTATAGGTCCCCTGGAACATTTGGCTTGAGAGTAGGATTTAAAGAGTCAGAGTCAGCATCTTCAACTGAGAACAGACTAAGCACTACAGGAAGCAGGGAGCAGCTTTCTGCCTGCGACAGGTTCTTTTCCAGAAAGGAGAGACAAGGCCATCCAAGCAGTAGCTTCGTTTTCTTTTCTTTTTTTAATTAATTAATTTATCTTTGGCTGTGTTGGGTCTTCGTTGCTGCGTGCAGGCTTTCTCTAGTTGTGGCGAGCAGGGGCCACTCTTCGCTGCGGTGTACATGCCTCTCACTGCGGTGGCCTCTCTTGTGGAGCACGGGCTCTAGGCGCGCGGGCTTCAGTGTTGTGGCTCGCGGGCTGCAGAGCACAGGCTCAGCAGTTGTGACACAAGGGTTCAGGTGCTCCGTGGCACGTGGGATCTTCCCGGACCAGGGCTTGGACCCGTGTCCCCTGCATTGGCAGGCGGATTCATAACCACTGCGCCACCAGGGAGGCCCCCAAGCAGTAGCTTCTGATACTCATATTCTGAGAAAGAGCCACAATACCTGCTTCCTTAATTGAAACTGTAGCCAAGGGTAAAAATAAGAAGAGGGGAAGACTGTCTTTTTTGGAGCTAAACAGTGTTACAGTTCATAAAAGTCAAATTATTCCATGGAACAATAATTTCTCAAAATGGGGCAGGGAGGGTGGCTGGGAAGAGAGTGGGAAATGACTTCACTGGGTAGGCTTCTGCCTAGTTTGCAAGGGATAAAGCCTGCCTTTGTTATTCTCCTGGCTTCTGTTCCCACAGCTCTGAAGTCTAAAGGCTTCTGGCAGGACATCCCAGTTCAACACCATTGTTTCTAGGATTTGCTACTGAAAGGGCTATTCACGTGGAAACCTCTCCCAGTCCAGGCTTCCGTCCGTCAGTCACGGTTAATTTACACCCTGGTTTAATCATGCAGCCCACCTAGGAAATTTGGACAAACCAGACTAGGGGTGGCACTGAGCCATCTCTCCCAGTCCCACCTTGCCAGCTCACTGCTGGTTCAAAGCCAGAACGCAACCTCCATTCATTCCCCAGATGTGTTCTGAGCATCAATCATGGGCTAGGTGTCGGGGCTACAGGTGGGAGCAAGCGAGACAAACACTAATCAGAGCGGAAATCCATGAAAGGAGAAAAAGATCATCCCGCGTCTCGGAAAAAAGGAGTCACAGATAGAAAGCCCTTTCCAGGAATGTGAAAAAAGAACCACAACTTGGGATCACGGGTCAAGATTCGGGATTGCTGAGGATGATGTGTTAAGAACCAAACTGGAGGAGGCTTTAAGAAGGAAAGCATCTCCAATAAGAGAAAAAGCCCTAGAAAGTGACCTGCAGCTTCCCTGTCCCCTCACATCAGTCCCACATGACGTACTTTGAAACCACCCTGCATTCTTGCAGCCGGGTTTTATTTTAGCCCACTTGAGCCCTGGTTTCCAGCAGGGGGGCACTGCCAATGTGGGTTACAGGACGAAAACCTCACGACAGAGTACTCTCTTGCCTGGGAAAAAGGTGAAAAAGGGCTGTGTTTAATCCTCCATCTAGGCTGGGAAGATGGCTCTGGGAACCCAGGTCTGTGGAACTGGCTTAATAGCTGTGGATTATAGGCAGACAGCATGACACAGTGAGACCTGGCCGATTTTGTCTTCTAGGACTTGTGATGTTAGATGTTGCAAGAGACTTCCTCCCAAGGATGTGAGAAATCCACAGATGGAATCTTGCTTGTCCACACCCGCATGACTCAATTAATCTGAAAAAATATGAATTTCCTAGTTTATGGCTATTGTTATCCTGTGTTCCTTCTCCCCAGATGAGCTCTCAGGCTCCCTCTCTGAGGTTAAAGCCTTGCTGAAGAGTTCGCCTTTGTCCCAGTGACCCTCTCTGATCCTATTCCCTCATCTGTTAAATGGGAGTGGCGATCGTCATCATTATCGTGGTAGCAATAGCAATACCTGAGATGATTACTAGACAACAATGAGAAAATGTGACTACAGGAGTGAAGATGTACACGCTGCCACTTATAAAATCAGGACAGTGTTCTCTTCCTCCCTGAACGGGGAGGACTGACACGGCAGCAAGTTATAAAAGGCAGAATAATACTTTACAAACGTTAAGTTTAAAACACACCCACTGCAATCTCACCTCCTCTCCGATGATTGGGAAACTTGCCCAGGTTTGGGAAAAGCTAGCCAGCTTAGTCAAAGCTGCTGCATACCACCTGCCCACCCCTCTACCACAAGGCAGAAAGGGTGGGCAGGGGAACACAGCTCAGCATTTATTTTTGGACCCAGCTCACTAAAAATACCCGAGCCTTCCTGTTTGATCACTCTCCCTTTTGACCTGAATGGATCGCGGGGCCGGCGGCCCGCCCCACCCTCTGCCCATTGTCCTTTAAAGGAGAAGGGCGTGGGGACGGATTCCTGCCGCTCAGGGACAGATGTGCGCCGCCCGGGCAGGCAGGGGCCGCGGCCCCACTGACGTAAGGGCAGCGCTCACTCAGCTGCAGCCTCCCGGCCGGGCCCAGACCAACCGAAGGGAGGGGGGAGCCGCGCGCTGGGATTGGCTGGCCAAGCGCGAGCGCCCGCGCCGATTGGCTGGCGAGGTTTTAGAGGGAGTCCCGCTCTCCAATTAAAGGGCCCCGCCGCGCCGGGCTGCGAGCAGAGCTCGCCCTGGGCCAGCGATCCTGGCCATTCAGCCACCACTGTCCCCGCTGCGCGCCCTCGCGCCTCTGCCTGAGAAGCCAGGCGCTGTTTGTCCACCCCAGAAGAGGATGGCAAAGGTGGCCATGGACCTCAACCCAGGAGTTCAGAAGGTGAGCTGCGATCTGTCTGTACTTACCCAGATTCTTTCTTTCCCCGTTTCCCTCTCCTCTGTGTTTGAGGCGGCTTACCTAGAAGTAAGGAGAAGGAAATTCATTAAATTCCGAGACTTAACAGAAAATAGAAAAGCTGGGAATACATGTTTGAGCTAACAGGCACACCCCCCCAAATTTTACTCTTAAAGGCCGTCGTGTAAAGTTTTTGCCAAGGATCTTAGTTCTCTGATGATGCTAATTAAAATTTAAATAAGGTAAAACTTTTTCTGAAATGGTAATTCTCTGGTCTGTAGTGGGGGGGAAAGACCCTTCCTTCCCCCTCCTGTGATTGAGGTGAAGGTTTGGGGAGGGGGTTATATATACTCACAAGGAATCTCCCTTTTTGCTGTCATCCTAGCGTTTTGTGTTTTTCAGACACACACACACACACACACACACACACACACACACACAAACACAGAAACCAGTTTCTTTAGTTGGTGATATTGGCAGTGGCAGCAATTCCAGCACACGGGAACTAATTTCTGTCCCCAGGGTCTGCACGTTTCCCTTTCAAGAAGGGCTGGCCGGGAGCCCAGAAGGTCACGGGTGAATTACTGCCTGAGGGGCCTGCGGCTGTGCCCTAGCTCCAACCACCGCCAGTTACATACCTGCAGGCAGTTGGGAGGGGGCACAGGCCGGAGGCTTAGAGGACCTGTGAGCTGGAAGGAAGCCGAGAGACAGCCTAGACCAGTGGAGAAACTGAGGCCCAGCGTCACAGAGAGTTGCTCCCAGCAGGCAGCAGAGCCTAAGGAAAACCTTTGGCATCGAAACCCCAGCCCTGCCACCTTTTAGCTGCATCACAATGACCGAGTCCCTTTTCTAAGCCTCAGTTCCCTTGTTTCCCATGGGGGGATGATAGGTCCCACCTCCCTCACAGAAGCAGTAACAGTGATGGTACCCTGTAGGGTCATCTCCCAAAGAGAACTTGGTCTTACAGGGCAAATTCCTCTTTAGACATTTGCCATTACCAGAGGCGTGGGGGGAGGGGGATGGAGGGGGGGTGCAGGAGTAGAATGAGAAGGGGGAAAAAAAAAAAAAAACCTATGTCAGAATCAAGATGCAAGCCAACCACTTAGAGGTGCAGGATTCACGCATCTGATTTACAGCTACGCCACTGCATGGCTGGCCTGCCCCAGACTCGCATACAGAGCAGTGCATCAGACCCTTCTGAATGTGTACACCAGGGCAGACTTCATCAGGGCATCTCTCTGGAATGTACCTGCCCCCATTGCATTTGCCAGACTATGTGCAGAATCCAGTCATTTCTCCTCCTTTGGAATTCTCACCGCATGTTAGACCTTGGTAAGGTACCCGCTAATTTCTACCACCAGTGAGTCAGGCACACACTGCTCTCACTTCTCTACCCACCTTTGTAAACTCCTGGAGGACAAACCTTTCTCGCTCATCTCTGTCCTGATGCAGCACGCCACGCACAGCAGGACTCAATCAACTACAAGTGAACGGGCTAAGACCATGGTGTTCTCGGACAGTACAATTCGTGCGTTACTGTTTTCTAACTTGTGGCGGCAACCGGGATATTTGTGTGTCTGAACTCCCTCCCCAAATTCAGCCAAGGTAAAAGAGTTCAGAGCTAAAGGGGCAGCGTCTCACTGTCCACTGGAAAATCAGATGGTTCGCGGTGGTTTTACTACAAGCTAGTGGACGGTTAGTGGGTGAAGGGAAACAGGATACACGGAACACCCCTCCTCAGCACAAGCCCCGGCCACCACTCGGAGGAAGGCTTGCTTTTACTTTCCTTTGCATGGGAGCGTGTGATTATCCGGATTAGAGGTGGAACACAGTCTCCGACCTGTCACCCTCTAGTGCCAACTTCCTTGGCCTGCAAAGCGTTTATTTTCCGTTTAGATCCAATTACAGGCTTAGCGGAAGAATGTGGTGGGTAGAGATGAAAGGGTGGGTATTTTTTACCCTTTGGGACTGTGACAGAGGAGGATGACCACTTGGTTGATTAACCCATGTCATCAACTCAGAAAGTCAAGAAAAGGGAAGGGAATGGGGGGAAAGCTCCACTTGCTTTTGTATAAGCTTGTACTTCCTGAGCTGTACAGCGGTGATTAAACACTGGGTCACGTCAACAGCATGCTGTACAACTTTTATTGCATAATTTACTTTCAAAATCTGCAACAGTGGGGGGTTTGCTAACATTTGGCTTCAGGAGGCATAATCACACTTAGGCATTCCGAAACAATTTCATAGCCCCTGAGAGCTTCAAGGGACCTATTTACAAAATGAGAAATGACTTCAAATGGGCTACAAGCTGACTCCACTGCCCTGCCCCCAAAGGGATGGGTGCTGCAGGGAATCCCTAGCAGCTGGAAAGTCAGAAAAAAAATCTTCAAGAGACAGAACATAAAATCCCAAACCTGGAGTAGGCTTTGAGACCATCTATCCAATTCCGGGCAGACAGGGGGACTGGCCGCGGGTCACATCCATAGTTCGTGGCAGGGCGTAGAAATAGTTCCCTACGCCCTCTCATCTGTGCTGAGTCGAATGCTCCCGTTGGCGGCTCTTGAGTCATGATTTGTTTTTCAACTGGGAAAGAGGTTTCCTAGCATGGAGAGTTTCCCTGAGAATCAGAAACTAGCCACCATGCCCTGGTAACAAAAAGCCTGGAAGGCCAAATGCCATTTCTCTTGGTGGAATCAACCACCACTGTGGATGTGTTCTTCTCTTGTTTATTAAGCGGTTAGTATTCTTGTAACCAGATCTGGGTTCAAATCCCAGCTCCACCACTTACTAGCTGTGTGCTCTTGGGTAAGCTTCTGAGTCTGCGTCCTCATCTGAAAATGGGGAGACACTAAAAGCATCTCCCTCCCAAGGGGTCCGTGATCATGAAATGAGCTGATGTGTACAAAGGGCTCAGCACATGAGCGCAAATAGATTTAGCCATTGTTATTGTCAGTGGTGGTTGTGTATTTCAGTGGGTGTGTGATTGCTGAAAGGAGTCTTTTGGGGAATGAAGGACGTGCTCTTTTTTCTTCAGCTGACTGGCCCATCTGAGGAGTAACTAATTTTCATTCGGCTGAGCGAAAGCCAGCTGCTCAGCCTTGATAACCTACAGCAATGACCAATGACCTTGTCTTCATTCTAGCCCAACAGATACAAAATCTGCTTACACAACAGAGATCATCAGTCACTGAGCATTTCACTCTGGAGTGCTGGAATGGTAGGCCTGGAAGCAGACACAGAGCTCTTTTCACTTTATAGATTAGGAAACTGAGACCCAGACAGGTCAAGCCCCTTCTCTGAGATTGCTAAGAAGGTGGGCCAGGGCCCATTAGGCTCTGTAAGAATACAGACCCCTTGGCTGCCAAAGAGCCATTTGCAGGAGTTTGGAAAGGACTAGAACAAAAAGATCAGAGAGCATGTTCACTGCTGACTGTGAGTGGACCGGCTCCGGAGGGTTCTATTTCTCACCCCTCAGCACCATGTCAGAGGAGCATGAAAGAATGGTTCGTCCTAGTGCATTGCCAGGTTCAGCTGGGCGTCCCCCTCCACGCTTCTCCACATCACGTCCCTCCTGGCTTTCCTGTCCTCCAGCTCTGCCCTCCCCTCCATAATTCAGCCCTTCCTGCTTTCACCTCCAGTTCCTGCCGCGTGCAAAACTGCTGGCACACTGCCTGGGCAAGCCGATCCAACATCAACACGGCTCCTCGAGAATTGTCCTTGGCTTCCTCCATCTTAGAAATATATTAAGCTGTCACTTAAAGACTTTAATAGCCAAGCCATTGGATACATGCCCATAGGTGTATAAGCAACTTGGCCCAAAGAGAGCCATATAAAAAAAAAAAAAAAAAAAAA